GGAGACAATAGATGTAGGTCTACGTGGTATCTTCAGAACCACTCTAATATGGTTGGTGCCTAACCCTGGAGAGGTGAAGTACCTACTTTATCTCTGAGCTCCAACTTCAGCTTCTTAGAAGGGATAGCAGAGAAATGTGGGGGCATGAAGAAACGGGAGTTTCAAAGTGCCTAACAAAACCTGGCTGGCGTCGTTATTCATAGTGCCGGCTTTAGGTTCAGCAGACCTAAAATAATTTCCACGGGTGCTAAATCACAGTGCTCTAACTGAACATGTGATAAGAAAATTCTAGGAAAGAAAAACTCCGTGTTGTAGTATACACACATAATAGCTGAAGCAGAGAATTGTGAGTTCAAGGCCAGCTGTGTCTTCACGGGCAGACCTTAAGAAACAAAAACAAAACAAAATGTAAAGCTTTGCATAGAAACGAAGGAGCACAGCTACTTACCTCCCATTCACAGTCCCAGAAAACACTGGGATGCACAAACCTTAAGGTTCCAGCAGTGGCTTCCTGCTAATCTCAGCCTATGCCCGGAGCTCTGTCTGGGCATTTATTCCTAGTGTGCGGCTTGTGCTGCTTACACAGAACTACTGTGCAGGCAACCCACCCCTCTCAGTAAAGCTGGTCCCTTTAGTGTGCTGACTCCAACTTGGTCTACAAGTGGTGCTATGAAATGTCCCCTTGTTTCATTTGTCCATTATGAAGCTCTCTGTTGATGAGTCCTCCTCCCATGTACAAAATACTACTGAGATAAAAGTATTGACAAAGCATAACTTGCCCAGTTTTATTGCACATGATTTAAGACAGGTAGGGCTACAGGCCAATGGGGAAATGTGTCGTTTGTCACCTGAACACTGAACTTCCTGGAATCCAAATACTAGCCACTTCAACAATAACTGCACAGGAGCCAAGGCCGTTCTGAAGAAGCATTTATCAGCAGCACAATACGCTACAGAGCCCACCCTGTGTTCCTGGAACATGTCTTTAGTCTCTGGTCAAGTTGTCCCATTGGGCTTACTTTGTATCTGGGGCATTATTTTACTGGTAGAGCTAGATTCCCAAGAGAAAAGGGAGAGGAATACCCGAGTCCCAAAGCACATCCTAGATCACCGTGCCCCTCAGCCTCTTCTACCATTCTGACTCACGTCAGTCCTCCGGAGTCCAAGTCCCCCCGTTGGAGCGATACTTTGGCCACCTGCTCACCTCCTCAACAGACCTCATCTCTAGTACCATCTCCATGGGGTAAACTGAACATGGGCCAGTTCGAATCTATTTATCACAGACACCACAGGCAGGCCAGCTACAAATGTAACTATTCTAGAGTTATGTTCTTCCACTAAACAACACTTGTTTTCTGTTGAAAAACAAAAACATTCCTTTTTCAGTTTTCTGGCTAAAATAAAGTGTAAGAATCATCCCGCTGAAGCACAATTAATAAAAACTCAGAGACAGAAATGGGGTTTTAACCTAAAGATCCAAAAAGCAAAGCAGCCAAGCCAGTGGCTCTATCTTGACCTTAGTCCGAAAATGGCAAACCTGCCTCCAGGAATCTCAGAATGAGACTGTTTGAGAACTTTCTTCTCCCATCTTATATTCCTCTCTAGGGCTGGGATTAAAGGTGTGTGCCACTGCTATCCCATTACTATGACAAACTAGTGTGGCTACTGGGATTAAAGGTGTGTGTTACCACGGCCTGGTCAATAAGGCTCATCAGTGGGGCTGTTTTACTGTCCGATTTTCAGGCAAGCTTTATTTATTAAAATACAAGTAAAATATACATGTAACGTTACAAAAAAGAAAAATACAGGTATATACATTTACAAACAGTAAAGGCAGTGAAATTATTTTAACTATAACTGAGAATAAAATGAAATATAAAAAACATAGAAATAGGGGGCTGGAGAGATGGCTCAGCTCTTCTAGAGGACCCGGGTTCAATTCCCAGTATCTATGTGGCAGTTCACGACTGTCTGTAACTCCAGTTCCAGGGAATCGGACACCCTCACACAGAAAAGTATTCAGGCAAAACAGCAATGCATGTAAAATAAAAATAAATTATTTTAAAAAATAATTAAATAAAGGGCCAGGGAAATAGTCCACTAAGACACGAATTGAACATAGCGCCCACACGGGAGCTGTGCACGAGCTGACAAGATCCACTCAGTGGACAGGTCACCTGTCACTCTCACTGCCAGTCGGTCCTGAGACCTCCATGGAGGAAGGAGGAACCCACTCCTGCAAGTCATTCTCCACCACACTCATGCCCAGTCATCTGCACACGCATACACACGAATGAATAAATTACAACTACAATCCCAGAGCTAAGAAGAATCCCTGGGACACACTGGTCAACCAGCCGAAGAGGTGAGTGCCGGGTCTCAGTGAGAGACCTGTCTAAAGCAAGGCTCCTGAGGAAGGACATGACACAACTGTCATGTACACATGTGGATGTACACGTGTGTATGCACACGCTTATAATAACTTGAAAAGCCATCTTAAAACATCAACCACTCACATTCAATAACCACTGAGCACCACACTGTGGTAACAGCTGCAAAGCAGCTTACCATCTAGGTGCGAACACCTGGAGTTACAATACTGTATTTTTTCACAGACTTCTTCATCCGCTTAATTTTCTTCTTCAAGGTTTCATGATCTTGTTTTAAAATATACCGAAAATATCTACAACCTAGAAAATAAAACAAAATAAAAAAGTTTTAATATTTCTCAATTAAGTACACTTGTACATTTTTTACTTTTGCTTCAGCCCCCGAACACTAAGGATATGAAAGCCGACTCATTGTGTCCCACACCAACGCAAAAGGAGCTACTCGAGCGCACGAGTGCTACGCGCTCCCTTAAGCAAACACTATTTTCTGTTTAAACAAAAACAACATTCCTTTCTCAGCTTTCTGGCTAAAGTCACGTAAGGATTTTATTACATCCTCAGCTGACACACATCTCTCTCTCTCCTAAGAAAACGCCAGGTTATATCCCATAACTACAGAACCTCTCTGCCATCCCTGAGGACAGGATGCTAGTGGTGCGGGCTAAAGAGTGTCTGTAGTGTTACTAAAATAATTTGTGCATTTCTTTTGAGACAGGATCTAGCCATGTTGTCCAGGTTTTCATATAATTCCTGAGTTCAAATGATCCTCCTACAACAGCCTCCTGATATCTGGAAGGCATGAAAATTTGTATTCATAAATATACTATTTTATAGCAGAAGTTAAACACAGCCAGATTTCTGCTTTCACCTATATAGAAAACTGGAAAGAATTTCACCCTGTGCTAGCACTAAAGAGCTGCATAGACGTGAAGAGAGCTTACTTAGGAAGGCAGCTGGGTTGCTAACTGTGAGGAAGGCTCCTCCGAAGAGAAAGGGGCCTGCTTTGCTTTCACACAGCATAGGATGAAGGCAGCTGTCACACCCATTCTAAGACAAAGCAGAAGCTGACCAAGATGGAATGTGGAGGATGTAATGATGGTGGCCAGAACAAGAATCAAACTCAGCTCAGTGCTAAACCAACCCCAAAGGAGAAAGGTGCCATTCTCAAGCAGAACCAGGCTTCTCACTCCCAGAACACTTAAGAATTCAGAGCCCTCCAGGGGATGTTCACTTGGTATTGACAACCCAGTTAGCAAATAAGGAAAGAGCCATGCTCACAACGTGCATTTCACACAGAAGCCACCAAAGGTTGCTGCTTGGCCTAATGACAAGAGGACTGGAAACTGCCCAGGGCCTTCAGACCCAGCTCAGACGCAGCTGCCCTGAGCGGCTTACTGTACTGCATTCAGGGTTCAGGAAGGAAGCCCTGCAGGCAAGCCCATTTCTGTTCCATCACGAGTGTTCTTAGAAATGGCATCTTTCAACTCTGTTTTCATGAATCCCCTTTTCTCATAAACCCAACCTTTTCCGCATCTTAGTAATGTTAAGAAACACACCGATTCCACTCCACCAGAGACGCCCTCTCAGCACTGCACATGGCCGTGAGCCTCAGGAGCTCACTGCATGGGACTACAGGCCACAAAGGCGAACTCCGAAAGCTGTAAGCACAGGGCTCTGCGGTGCTCACTGCCGCATTCCTTTCCTACCTCTAGACATACTTCACGGCAGTTTACTAGAATGATCCACTGCTCATGTTTCAGTGGTGCAGAGCAGATACGCATTTTACTGAACAAAGTATCCCATAATAAAAGATCAGTTTCGTCTTTTTAAAAGACTTGCTGTTCACCAGTGGTATTCTTTCTGGGACGGGGGGATGTTCATTCCTTACAGGAGAGTAAATATAACACGATGCTAATGAAGACATCGAGGTCAGTCAAGAGCATTGTACTTTTTGTGATGTCACAAGCAAACCTTATAGTCTAGCCCAATAGTCTAGCCTGCACAGTGTATTTTAAGGCCCAAACTCAAGTCAAGGTGTGGAAGCCAACCACACAGTATATAAGATCCCACATAAGCTCTTATCACGATCTTGCTCAGGGCTCACACTCTTGTTCCAGTTGTTTCTCAAGCATCTATAACCCTGAGGCATCATACTGGACAAGATGAGCAACAGGGCCCACTTTCTAGCTTCAGAGCCAGCTGAAAGCTACGCTGGGCAGTTGTGGTGCATGCCTTTAATCTTAACACTCTGGAGGCAGAGGCAGGTCGATCTCTGTGAGTTCGAGGCCAGCCTAGTCTACAAGAGCTAGTTCCAGGACAAGCTCCAAAGCTACAGAGAAACCCTGTCTCGAAAACAAAGTAATAGTAATAATAAAACATTAAAAATAAATAAATAAGCTACATCCAAACAAACACAAAATCACAGAGAAAAAAACCACAAACCTTTTCCTAAAAGGATTCCTGCTACAAAAGCTTTCTCATAAGCTAAGTCAGCATCTGCCTTCCAGTCACTCTTTGCCCAAAAGAAGCTGAAGTGAAAGGCTGGCCACCAGCTTCTCCTAGATTTCCACTCTTCTTCGACCCATGCCAGATGGCTTCTGGAAGGAAACATGAGAAAAGAAAACAGTGAAGGGGAACGCTGTCATCGGAGCTGACTGTGCGCATCTCTTACAACAACACGGGAGAACGGGCTGACTTCTGAGCATGGTCAAGACAGAAGCAGAAAGGCAGGACCATGTTCATTTGTTGTAATAGGAGCAGCAGGCTGCTTCCTGCCACCCAGCTAGCTTTATACCCGAAATAATTACACGAAAACTGTATTCTTTTAAACACTGCCTGGCCCATTAGTTCCAGCCTCTTATTGGCTAGCTCTTACATATTGATCTAACCCATTTTTAATAATCTGTGTAGCCCACAAGGTGGCTTACCAGGGAAGATCTTAACCTGCGTCTGTCTGGAGTGGGAGAATCATGGCAACTCCTCACTCGGCTTCTTTCTCCCAGCATTCTGTTCTGTTTACTCCACCCACCTAAGGGTTGGCCTATCAAATGGGCCTAGGCAGTTTCTTTATTAGCCAATGACCTTCCTCCATCATTCATTCTTTTTGGTCTGAGCATGGTCAGGACAGAAGCAGGAAGGCAGGCCCATGTTCATTCTTTTTGGTCTGCACATGGTCAGGACAGAAGCAGGGAGGCAGGCCCATGTTCTTTCATTCTTTTTGGTCTGCACATGGTCAGGACAGAAGCAGGAAGGCAGGCCCATGTTCATTCTTTTTGGTCTGCACATGGTCAGGACAGAAGCAGGAAGGCAGGCCCATGTTCTTTCATTCTTTTTGGTCTGAGCATGGTCAGGACAGAGGCAGGGAGGTAGGCCCATGTTCATTCTTTTTGGTCTGCACATCCCATTTCCACTTCACAGCCGACGCCTTACAGCAGAGTGGTCGAGCAGGACACTGAGATAAAATCCTGGACTGAAATCTCAGCTCCCCATCTCCAACTGTATGATCCTGAGCAGGCTGCCCACCTCTCTGAGCCTCAATCCCTTTGATGGTGGAAATGGCTATTTTCTAGTCCAAGAGCACACAGATCCCCATAAAGCACCTTGCACAGAGCGCATCACACGTCAACAGTTACTATCATAATCACCTAAAAGGAACGGTACAATCTTAGATAAAATTAGATGTTACCAAAATTACTATGCCAATTCAGATGCTATCACTACAAAAACATACAAACATGACCTTGATGATGAACCAAGCAAACTAAGTGTCCACCAGCAACTCGAGTAAACGTGTATTAACACCCGTGGCGGCCCCTGTGGTGGAGCTGCTGGATCCAACATGTGAAGAATATGTCTCTTGGCCTTCAGAAACCCTATGGCCTAGTAGGGATTAAACAATACTTCGGATATGTGAAGCGACCGATGGTGAGTGTGCCAACAAACTGGACCAGTGCTTAAGAGTCCAGACAGCAGCTGACTCAGGTCTTTTGCCACATGAGGCAACAGCAAGAGGGCCCCGGTGTAGGGATAGTCCAGCCCCTTAGAGGGTGTGTTCGCCTCGGGCTAATGTTTACATATAAATCTGGTGAGCGTGAGCCCGCCATTCTCTTTTCTTGTATCTCCTGCTCATCGCTGGATCCCTGGTGTTGTAAGCTATATTTTTTATTAAAATTTCCTGTTTCATATTAAGCTAGCCTGGTTATTACGCCGACTACATTTTGGCGCCCAACGTGGGGCTCGAACCGATGACCCTGAGATTAAGAGTCTCATGCTCTACCGACTGAGCTAGCCAGGCTACGCTCACTTGAGCCCAGTCATGCTGTTCCTACCTCTATTTTTGTATAAGAATATGCTTATAACTTTGTCTATATTGTATTGATACATCTACCATATTACAATGTACATTTTCTACCTCTGATACTATTTATAGAACATTGTTTACATTTGATATGTAATGATATTGTTTACAGTTGAAGATCATTGTCTTCATATATTGCACAGTTGTTTAATCACTTAGTCTTCAAGTTAGATAGGTATTGAGAATTAATTAGGTCTTTTAGATACATAGAGATTATACTTAATATAGATAGTATAATCTTCAGCCTCTTCGAAGAGCTGTAGAAATGGCCTTTAATCTAACCTAGAATTCTGTGCCAACGAGACACAATTACTCCTGACAACACCACTCTACTCCCCAAGAGAACGTTGAGCACCAAAGACACTCCACTGGGAGCTTGTCTTCTTGGCAGAACTGGCCTTTGGGTTAAGAAAAGCCCATACCTCAACTACTGACAAAGATACAGAATATCCGTAAGTAGATAAAACAGGATTGTCTTATCCTGCCAAGACAGGGTAGGATAGTTCTAAGAAAGGTCCTTGCCTTTAATAATGGTATGTCAGTTATGTTAGGCCTTAGCCAAAGTTGGTTGACTCAACATTGCAAACGAGACTTAGGGTGATTGCCCAGGTAGTCTGTTGTCTCTGTCAATTGTTACACATTTTGGATATCTCTCATTTGTTAAGTAATATTAATTCCCTTCTCAGATCTTTGATGGAGTTGAAGATTATATAATTGTAGTTACTCTCTACCTTATTTAGACTCCTTGAGATAGAATGTTTAGCAAAACTTTTGTTCTCAATATTGTTTGTTATATTATTATTTGTTATTATTGTATATAGTTGTATTTGGTTTAGTTCTGTCTTATTTAGACAAAAGGGGGAGATGTAGGGATAGTTCAGCCCCTTAGAGGGCGTGTCACCTCGGGCTAATGTTTACATATAAATCTGGGGAGCGTGAGCCCCGCTGCTCTCTTTTTTTGTATCTCCTGCTCATCGCTGGATCCCTGGTGTTGTAAGCTATTTTTTTTATTAAAATTTGCTGTTTCATATTAAGCTAGCCTGGTTATTACGCCGACTACACCCCAGCTTCACCAGAACAAATCTGCTGGTGCCTTCACCTTTGACTTCTCTGCTACCAGAGCTTTTTAAGAAAATAAATAAGTAAATAAATAAAAGTCTTAAGACTTCTCTGTAAAATCCACCTAGTTTCAGCCTTCTTCTGTCTTCAGGATTGTCGGAGGATTGCCGAAACACTGTTGGAACCTGGTCCAAGAATGAAGTGGTGTGGGAGTTCTCAGTGCTTGTGAGAAATTCCAAGAAAACAAGATGTGACATCAGTTTCTTCAAAAACATGGACTGTGTTCCCGTGCCCCACCCGGGTATAGCAGACGAGAGTGAGTTTACTTCAGCCGTTGCTAGTCACATGCCCCTACGGACAAATGTTTCTCCAAATGTGTCCGGTCGCCGCGCTCAGACACCTTACTCAGGTAACTCTTCTTAACCCTCAGAGTATAAACTGTCTGAGGCTCTGAATAAAACTGGCTTTATTCAGAGTCTAACTACATGAGACTTTTGTCTGCCTCACTTTTGGGCTCCGTGCCCCAGGTTCATGCCACCAACCAGAGTAGCAAGTACAGAGTAAAGTCAGTTCTATGCCCGAGGCGAGTATTCTCAAACATAGGATTTCCTCACCACCCAAAATGGGCATAACGTTCAAGTGAAGCTTAACTCTGGGAGGCCTCTCTTCTCACAAACAGAATACCTGTGAGCAGGGTAGTGCCTTTTCTCTTACCCAGAATGCAGTGCTGATAACATGCAAGGCAGGTGCAGCGTCAGACATGCTAACATGCTTTCAGATGTGGCACTGATTTTGCTAACATGAAATATATGCATAGAATTTCTGTGTGTTAGGCTTATGCGTTTGTATTTCCTAGCTTCTGATACTCAGAAAAAAAGAGCTAAGATCCTATACAGGAAATGCAAAACCATTAAGTTACAAACGTTAAAAGCAACACCTAAAATGTGGTGACTATTACTTATAGAGGTAAATTATTTATGTTTTAATAAATAAAGTTTACCTGAAGACCAGAGGGCAAAGCAGCCACACTAGTCAGCCATATAGGCCAGGGAGTGGTGGAACACACCTTTAATCCCATGACTCCAGAGACAGAGGCAGTTGATCACCATGAGTTCAAGGCCACCCTGACTCAGTCTGTCCAAAAGAGAAACAGAGCTCACACAAAGATGATCCCAGCACTTGGGATCACAAGCCTTTAACCCCAGCACTAGGGAGGTGGAGATAGGAGCGATATGGCTGGGCAGAGAGAGGAATATAAAGGAGAAGAGACAGAAACTCAGTGGAGTGTGGAGTCTAAGGATTTGGTCTGAAGACTTGCTAGAGGTAAAAGGTTTCTCTAGTGGTTGGCTGTTTTGTTTTTCTGATCTTCAGCTTGAACCCAGTATCTGGGTTTATATTATTTGTGCTACAATTACTTATGTTGAAGACTTACTTCATTAATGTCTGCTTCAGATACGTTGCCAAGTATTTCCAGGCAGTTATGTTCTTGGTGCATCCAGCAAAATCAAGGAATTCAAATAATACGCCCAAGCCCAGCTTCCGGTGTTCTTCTGTCTCTGCAATGGTCACAAGAGCCCAAGCTTACAGAAGGTACTGGAGAAGTGCTCAGAGCCAAGAAGCTACATCATGTTATGCATTATGAACTGCCAGCCTTCTGGCTGGTTAGGTGTTTAAACAATTCATCATGCTCACTGTGCAGTGATGAGATGAAGGTTAAGGACGTAGGACATAAGATGTGAGCCTCTTCTCAGGTTACACCCCTCTAAATACCTCCTACCCTATTTGGCATGTTTAGTATCTACAGGTTGGGACCTACAGACTTTGTAACAATTGGCTTAAACAAGCTGACTTCCTTCTAAGACAGATGTTCTTTACTGTACTGCACTGCAGCACTCAAGGGGTTAACAAAAGGTCCTCCTACTTCCCCGGACACCAAGCATTTTAAGCTGTGAGCTGGGGATGTGAACTCTCCACTGCAGAGACAGGTTCTACAGCAGCCCAGGAGGCATGGAGAGCCAGCGATTGCAGCTTGTGAAAACAGGTGAGGAGTGGAAGTGGCCCTTGGATCACAGACGGCTGGCCCTCATCTAGTCTGTACACACAAATGAAGATAAAACACAGTTTTACCTGATTTCCTAAGCATTGTATGGAATTCTAACATCAGTGGATGGGATGGCACAATCCCATGTAAAATCTGAAAGAGAAAATAGTCTTGTAATTTACACAGTATACAGACATTTCTCAAATTCTAGCTTTCTTTCGTGTAAAATTCTTACTGGCTAATATGCTCTCAGCAAATGAACAAAGGACTTTTTTTTTTTTTTAATCCAGTTTCAATCTGAACGTAAGAAGGTATTTTCTGGATGGAGTGCTCACTTGGCAAGCATGAGGACTTGAATTCAAATCCCCAGCACCACAGACAAGACCAGGGGTAGTAGCAAACACCTGTAATCCCAGCACTGGGGAGAAACAGGAGGATCCTGGGAGTTCACCATCCTGGCAACCTAGCCTGTGGGTGAGCTTTAGGTTGAGTGAGAAACCCTGTATCTAAAAAGGTGGAGGGGCTAGAGATGGCTCTGTGGATAAGAGCACATGGCAGCTCACAGCCATCTCTAACTCCAGTCACAGGAGGATCCAACACTCTTTTCTGACCTCCAGAAACACCGCATGCATGGGATACACAGACATGCCAAACAACCATGCAATACACACCTGGTCTGGGGACACTGCTTAGTCACAGAATTGTTTGTCTAGTAAGCACGGGACCTTATTCTGATCCCTAGAACCCTGGCACATCTGGAGCCTCAGCACTGGAGAAGCAGAAACGGGTGGGTCCTGGGGCTTGCTGACCAGCCAACCTAGACTATTAGATGGGCTTCAGGGAGAATACCTTTATGAAACAAGATTAGCCATGTGTGGTGGAGAATGCCTTTAATTCTAGCACTCAGGAAGTAGAGGACGGTGAATCTCTGTTAGTTTAAGGCCAGCCTGGTCTACACAGGGAGCTCCAGGCCATCCAGGGTTACACAAAGGCAACAACAACAACAACAAAACAGCATAGCTTGCTCTTGAGAAAGGAGGCCTGAGGCTGACCTCCGGCACGTGTTCTCTCCCTCTCTCTCATTCATCTGTGGTCTCCCTCCCTCACCCTCTCAAAATTCCTGCTAACAAAATGACAAGGTTCACAGGAAGAAACAGACTGAGTAGACAGGCTTTTATTTCTATCTTATACATATCAATTCTGCTTGCCATACTAATAACTTAAATGATGTTGTTTTCTGAAAAGAATAGAAGAAATTACAAAGCCAGGCATGGTAGCCGAGGGCTTGTAACGCAGCACTCAGGAGATAGAGCAGGAGATCAGGACCTCAAATCCAGACAGGCTGCAGAACAAGTCTGAAGCCAGTCTCTAACTACATGACACCCAAGTCTCAAGAAAACAAAATCAAAGAACTCACATAGAAAATACCATATTGGTCAGAAAATATCACAGAAGATTTACATAAAACAAAAACTCAAAAGGACAGAGCGAGTAATTTTAAAGAATAAACTCAAACAAACCATGCTAAAAAGCATGTGATTGTTCTAAACAGTTTTTTTATAAACAGTAAAGAGAAACAAAGACTTTATTTCTTAAGAATACAAAGAACTATTTTATGACTATGGAACAGGATCTGAAGTAACATTATCTCACATTTCAAAGCATATATTAAAAATGAATTTGAGCAAAGGTGCTTGCTGCCAAGCCTGGCAACCCAAGTGTAAACCCTGGGGACCAGAGGGGGACAAGATGTCGTCTGACCTCCACATGTACACAGACAAAATAAATAAGAAGTGGATTCATGCCTGCCCTTTTTGGAAGAGAAAGGAGTGGATTTGGAGGAAGAGTGGATGTGGGTGGGGAGGGACTGGGAGGAGAGGAGGGAGGGGAAACTGCATTTGGGATGCAATCCATTCTGTTTCCTGGGATACTTTGGCTTTGTTTCCAACAAAACAACAAATTTTGTCAGTTTCTCTTAATAGTTTTATAAGAGGTCAATGAAGCAGTGTCAGAAATAAATATTGCCGCAGCAATAACAGAAGTTATTAAAACTTGGTTCCTACAGTAACATTTTTCTATTATTTATCTATGAATGTCTCAACTCTCAAATTTTTTTATTGAAATACATATACTGCTATGGCAAACAAGTACTATGTGCCGTCAACATGTTCTTGGGAAGCTGAACACATTCACGTAACCACCACATGAGTTGGGAAGCTCTCAAGTTCTGCTTGTTTTGGGCCATTTCTCCTCTTCCTGGACTTCAACCACACACACTGGCCTAAAGCACACACAGGGAGCAGCGTTCTCTACTGACCACAGAACACTATTCATACATTACTGTTTACACTTTGTTGTTGTGTCTTATGGTGCTGTGCATCAAACCCAGGGTCTTGCATATGCTAGTCCAGTGCTCTACCACTGAGCTACATCCCCAGCCTGGTGTCATTTTCTATGGCTGCCACAATATAAGGAATGGCTTTCTAGTCAAACACCGGGAAAATGTCTATACCTTAAGAACACTTATCAGTTTCGCTCTTGGTGCCTTCTCTCTCTTCAGAAATTCATATAAGTAGATGTGGGCATTGGGGTTTGAGGGGAACTTTTCATCATACGCATAATTGGTGAGTATTTCTCGGGCTCCATCTTGGTCACCATAGAATTCTAGCATCTGTATAAAATAAAGTATGTCTTACATTAATTCTGTAAAATAACTCCACAAAAATAAGATACAAAGTTACTGCTAAGAACAATAGCCACAACAATAAAAAAGAAATCACACGTGACAACAGCGACACTAATTCTGCTTTTCTAGCTCCCTACAACTTCTACAAACAGGATCAAAGGTCTACATGAGGTCTCATTCTTACCTTAAATTTGTTACTAGTGTAACAGTGTAGTAACTGTTCTTACAAGAAATCCAAGTCCCCAAAGTAGAGACCACTAATGCCCAGGTGTAAGTCGGCTACCTCAGCGCCCTAACTTCAGGCTGAAGGAGTCCGTGCTAACCACGGCTCCTACCTTTGAAGCGATTCACAGAGGAACTAGATTATCTTTGGCAGGAAAACAGTCTCCTTAGTACCAAGCAGCACCCAAGCCCTCGGTTCTTCTGCTGCAAGGAGTCTGAGACACTGGGGTAGCTTTATAAGCTTTCTAAAAGCCGTTGTGTTCCTTGGCCCCACGCTGTGACTTTGGTTTAGTGTTTTTCCACCTCCCTTCTACAAATCTTTAGAATTATCCTGTTTTTACAGTATGTTCAACAATAAAAATGCAGGCTTGCCAATCACAGTTACATCACTACTGCACACAGGTATCTGGCCATGACAGGTGTATCTACTTTTCTCATCAATGCCACCAAAAATTTCACAGAAACAACTAAGAAAAAAAAGGATTAGCCAGCGTGGTGGTGGCACATGCCTTTAATCCCAGCACTCAAAGGCTGAGGTGGGCGGATCTGAGTTTAACACCAGACTTATCTACACAGAGTTCCAGGACAGCCAGGCCCACACAGAGAAACCCTGTTTTTCTTTTTTCTTTTTTTTTTTGGGGGGGGGGGGGGGGGGGAGGTCAGAAGGAGGAGGAGGAGGAAAGATTTATTTGGATGTAGAGTTCAGAGGGCTAGAATCCACAAGATATGACTGAAGGCTTACTCTATGAAAGCGTGCAGCAAGAACTATCACATGACACTACTAGGAACAGGACGGAAGCAGGATGCTCCTAGTGTCCACTTCCTCCAGCCAGGCCCCACCACACAAAGTTCCGATCTCACAAAGCTGGTGACCACCAAGCATTCAAGTACATTAGTCTTTATGGGGCATTTCATATTCAAACCATTAAAAAGTCAGCCAGGGGTAAAACTAAACGAGACTACCTTACATAGCATATTAGTATTCATATATGCCTAGAGCGGGCCTCACACTGGCAACACCCCTCCCTCAGCACCACCACCCTGGCCTACGACAAGTGATTTACTTACCTCCACGTAACTCTTCACAAAAGGGTCCCAAACCCCGGGAGTTTTGAGCAGCGCAGAAATACTTGCAGACGTCTTGCTACTCTGGCTGAGCATGTGTTGAGTTTTTGCAGTGTAAGCATAATCATTCTCATCTGCTCAAACGTAAGAAATTCGCTCATTCATTCAGAGAAGCCATAAGCAAAGCTCAAGTCTGGGTGGACGCTTGTTAACTCTACCAAGTGCAAAGAGAACTGGTACCTCTTATGGGATGCCTAGCTCCCCAGCAGGGCATTGGCAAACAGTCTAGCCACCTCTAAAAAGCAACTATCCACCATACCCAAGGTCAGCTAAGAGCTGACTATCGACTAGCGCAAGGAATGAAGATCCTCCCTCTAAACCAAATCACTGCACCGTCATCTCTGCAGAGGCAGAAAAAGACACGACAATGTTCAGTAGTTGGTGATGAAAACAGTCACCAATCTAGGAACAGGACTCACTCAATCTCGATTTTTTTAATTTTTTAAAAATGTAATTAAACAGCTAACAGAGTTGCCGAAATCTGAGGAAAGGCAAAGCATCCTCTCTCGTGTCTCTCTCTGCTGCGATGCCAGGCTTCCATCAGGGCAATGAAGCAGTAAACGCAATGATGCCTAGACTGACAAGGACAAAACTTATCTCCTTTCAGGTAACACGATCCTGGCACACAGAAAGTCTCAAGAAAACTGTACTAAAAACCTGAGAGCTAGGTGGGTGGAGCCGGCTCAGTGGTAACAGCACTAACTGCTCTTACAGAACCAGGGTTTCATTCCTAGCACTCACTTGTTGCTCGCAACCATTTATAAACCTAGTCCCAGGGGATCTGATGCCCTCTCCTGGCCTCTGCAGTCACCAGAAGAAATGTATGTGGTGCAGGCACACATGCAGATAATACACATAAAATTTAATTTTGAAAAATTTATAAGCATTAACAATTCATTAAGATTGCAGGATATAAAACTGATACACAAAAATTGATTATATGATGGAGCACAGTGGTGCACACCTTAAATCCCAGCACCTGGTAAATTCCGGACAGTCAAGGCTACATAGAGACCCTGTCTCAAAAAAAAAAAAAAAAAAAAAAGATTGTCATTTGCTTGCCTGAATTTTTGAGACAGAACACTGTGACATAACCCACCCTGACCTCAAACTCAAGACAGCCTCAGCCTCCAAGAGCAAGGTTTCTTCCATCCATCTGGACTAACTCAGAGGTCTGTGAGCCTGCTGTGCGGCTGTCCGTCACCACAAGAAAGCTGGCTGTGCCGACTCACCCAGCTCTGACAGCTCCATCTTCTTCCTGGACCACGTGTAGTACTGTAAAAGCCCTTTGTAGGCCTGAACAAGGTTGATCAGCACTTCCTGAGAGGACGACTTTTCACCGTACCGCCATGCTTCTGCATCAGTGAGGTTTCTGTTTGCATCCTCCAGCATTCCATGATGTAAAAGATACAACGCGTGTTGTAGGGAGATCTGCACCAGTAAGAAAGACTCAGTTGCTGCAGTCAGAACTCTTAGTCAAAAACTCAGGAGATATAATACATGCTGGCCTAGTCCTACGAAAACTATACAGTAGGACCCCACATTAAAGGGAAAACTCAACTGGGTGGTGGTGGCACATGCCTTTAATTCTAGCATCTGGGAGACATAGGCAGGTGGATCTCTGCGAGTTTGAGGACAGCCTGGTCTACACAGAGAAACCCTGCCTCAGAAAAAAGAAAAGAAAGGAAAAGGAAAAAGGTGAAAGCTCAGACAGCGGTACAGTCCATACCCTGTCATCCACATTTAGACAGACATGAGAAACAACTAACACTACGTAACTGAGAGTAACAGTAGACAGTGCAACACAGTGAGGAAACTGGGCATCGAAGCCTGAACTGTCAGTCACTCGACGCTTCCTTTACCTGTCTTCAGTAACCCTTCAGAAGAGGCTGTTCAAGATTAAATGACATAATCTTATGTCTACTTGACCTACAGTCGACAACATCCTAACAACTTCATACATGTCAAATATGCTCACAGAAAACATCCTGCCAACGAGTGCTCAAGAATGGATTTAGTTTAGGAGGGAAACGGTATCCCGGAAACAAAAGCAAAAATAGCCATAGAGCTGGGCGTGGTGGCACTCATCAATAATCCCAGCACCACGCAGACAGGCTGAGGTAGGACTGTGAGCTGGAGACCAGCCTGGGCTACACAGCAAGGCACTGTCTCAAAAAAAAGGAAAAGAAAAACACAAGCCAACAAACAAAGGGGCTAGGAAGGTGATTCAGGGGATAAACTCTGCTGAGAATGCACGAGGACCAGAGTCTGGATCCCCAGAACCCACAGGTCAAGCTGGGAGGACATAGCGGCCTGCCTATCACCCCAGTGCACAAGAGGTAGATACGGAATCCCAGAGCAAACTTGCTAGATAGATTAGCTGGGCAGAACCAGGGAGCTCTGGGTCAGCAAGAAACCCTGCTTCAATAGGTTGAGGTGGAGGAAATTCAAAAAGGCTCCTAGTGTCAACATCAGACCTCCAGACTTACACACGCACACACACACACACACACAATCAGAAAATTGAGCAAGTAAAAACAAAACCGAGAGAGCCAGGAATGCACATTTATGCTTTGCGAGCTGTGTGGTTTCTGTCACATTTACTCAACTTGTGGCCGAGTCCTAATACAACTTTATAGTCTTGAAAAAATTAACAAATTATTTAGAAAATTACTAAAGAATGATGCTTTTAGTTAGGGGCTATAATACTGTGGTGTGATCTCAGTCCCTGTTGCAAAAAAAAACTATTATTAAAGACAGGACTTCGGAGAAAAGGTAACCACACAGCAGGAAAGTTGCAGCATTTGAACATGTTCAAGTTCCTACTTTTGTTCAGTTTGCCTTTTTCTCAAAATGCCAGCTCGGCTCAAGTTCAGCAAATAGCTGAGAACTGGCTGTGTCCACAGTGAGGTCCAGTCTTATCTCTGAAGGCCTGAGCTTGACAGCCAGAGACAGACAACAGGGCTCCAATCAGATCACATGGAAGGTAGCTGGAAACCAGGTCGTTGCACAGGAGTGCTCTCCCAGCTCCTTTACCCACAGGGCTCATCTATTTTCCATGATTTTCTCACTCAACACTGATACAGGCAATTAAAACAAACACACACTGAAAATACAAATTTACAAGTCTATGTTCTCACCTTTAAATAGTTCAAGACGCCAATATTTTTCATCCGGTCAGCAAAGTTATTAAAAGTCTCCACATTGCTTTTAGGATGATAAAATAGAATTTCACTTCCAAGCTTCCAAATGATCTATCAAAGCAGAAATTAAGAGTATAATAATAAATCCTTATCTCATCCAGTTTCTTCCTATAAAATTTTGGATTTTTTTTCCTGATTACAACATGTAAAAGTAACTTTCCCTCTCCATGGAACCACCACTGCTGGACTTTCCTACACCCCACCTAGTAAAGCAGCACTCTTACTAGGTGATAATCACTACATCTCAAAATGCTGGTGTACTGGTGGCATGTCTGCTGCTGTCATCAAACACACGACCACAGCAACTGAAGGAAGGGTGTACTTAGGCTCACATTTCACAGGGTTAGTCTATGACGGCAGTACTAAGGCATGGCGGCAGGAGCAAGCTCACATCTTGAACAGCAAGCCTGAAGCAGAGAGCAAACTAGAAACAGTGTGGTCTTAAATTCTGAAAGCTACCTCTGGTGACAGACTTACTTCTTCCAGCAAGACTGTACCTCCTAACCCCACCCCCAAACAGCACCACCAGTAGGAACCAGTATTCAAGTGCCAGAGCCTATGGGGGCATTCTCATTCAAACCACTACACCAGGTAAGAATAACAGTGCCATTATTAACTTAGTACTCTTTCCCCTGAAATCTCACCTCCAACCCTCCAAGTGCAGACAGTAGGCATGTCCGCACCCCCTGAACCTTCATCCACACTGTGTATATGTGCTACACTCTAAGGATGTCAATCTAAGAACATCTGTCAGAAAAGACAAATTTTAATGAAATATATGTTCTCACGCCATATTTTGGTGACAGAATTTGAGCTCTGTTTTTCTTGGGGAGCAAATACCTATTCCCTTTCAACCTAAAGTAGATTAATAAAATCAGGTGTCTTAAAAACAAGAAAAAGTTGCCTCTGCCTCCCCCTGCTGGGGTTACAGGTGTGCACCTCCACACCTGGCTTTTTATACAGCAGGACATCAGGAGTGCTGGGCATGAGAGTGAAGGCCTAGAGGAGGCAAGAGCTGAAGAAAGACCTGCTCCATTAAAGGTTAAGGGTGATGAGGCTAGAGAAGAAAACCCTAGTTAAAGAGATGGGGTCAGACAGGCAGACCAGGAAGAGGGTGACTTCCTAAGAAGTCCACAGCAATTAGAGGACCATTGCTGGTGCGCCAGAAAATGGAAAACCATCAGTGCTCTCAACCAGGGTTTGGAGAAGCCCCATCTACATTGTTAGTCAATAGGGAAATGCAAATCATAGCACGAGCAAATTCTAACTCACAACTCAAGGTACCAAAAAAAAAAAAAAAAAAAAAAAGACAGGCGAAAAATGTAGAGCTCAATAAAAATCAATTAAAAAAAAAGCAGGTATGGTCACTTGTGCCTACCAGCCTCAAGAGGTTTAGACAAAGGACTGCTGTAAACCTGAGTCTAAGCCAGCATGGTATCCAGATCAAGACTTTCTCAATAAGTAATTAAGTGGATAAATGAAGGAATGACCAATAAGGATGTGAAAAAATTAAAACTTTAAATATTGCTGGTAGAAATATAAAATGGAAAAGTCACTTTGGTATGGAGTTTGGTAAAACCTTAAGAGATTAAGAATAGTGTTATCATATAATCTACAATTCCACTCTTCAGTATACACCGAAGAGAAATCACAGCAAGCACCATGCAAAAGCACATACATGAATGCTGAGAGAAAACACTGATGGACGGATGCATGCAGTGTGGCATTCCTTGCAGCGGGACACTGACAAAGGAAAGACACAATCAGGCGTGGTGGGGGCACGCCTGTCACGCCAGCACCCAGGAAGCGGGGCAGGGGAGACAAGGATCTACTGTGGGGAGAGCTAGAAGCGCAACTCCCAGCAGCCACTGTGCTGCCTGCAGACTCCCACTGTGTCTACCTCGGGGGCGGCCTGTCTCTTGAAGGTGTTCGAGTCTTCCAGGGTCTGTAAGTAGCTGTGCATATAGTCTGCAGCTTGCTGCCACTGGTGCTTCAGCAGGGCTTCTTGGATGAAGCGTAAACAAGCACTTGTTGTCTGAGTAAAATCCCTCTTCTTCTTCCCTCCGGTCACTGTAACAAAGACAGCCAACTCCAGCTCAGCTATTCAAAACTCAGTCAACACAAGCTTTAACAAGGACAGCAAGTACTACTGACCCAGCTACCCTAGGGTCCAGCCCACTGACTTAAACCCTGACATCACACAGCATCAGTTTTAATGGTCCCCTGACCCATGACGGAATGCTGACACGTAATCCTGGGCAGATCTCACGCAAGGAGCCACTGCTCTCCATTCAGTCTGAAACTAGCTCACCTGGAAACTCAACGCAGGATTAAAGACATGTGCCACTGTACCCTGCTTTGACACTAGTAACTTTTTTGGTTTTTTGTTTTTTTTTGTTTGTTTGTTTGTTTTGTTTTTTGTTTTTCTTTTTGTTTTTTGAGATAGGGTTTCTCTGTAGATTTGGAGCCTGTCCTGGAACTCGCTCTGTAGACCAGGCTGTCAAAGAAACTCAGAGATCCGCCTGCCTCTGCCTCACAAGCACTGGGATTAAAGGCGTGTGCCACCACCACCACCTTGACACTAGCAACTTTTAAGAGATCATCATGTAACCTCAGATACACTGCTTAAACTTTACCACCATTCACTTCCTCATGTGACTCACCGTCCCTCCAAACTGACTTACAGAAACTGAAACAGAACTGATGTTAAATGTTCCCTCCATAGGAAAATAAAAATACACAACAGTCAAAGCTGTGTGGCACATACCTGTAATGCCATCGTGGCTAAAAAACTGAGTCTGGGGTCTGCCTGGGCTATAGCAAGACTCAAAAATCAAGTATTCATGCACGGAAAGGGGGATAAATACATAATAAATACCATTGGATTTACAAAGCAATTGAGGAAAACGTGATAACCTTATCTATTTTGTTGAGATAAAATACAAATTAAAACTTACTCTAAGCCAGGCAGTGGTGGCACATGCCTTTAATTCCAATACTCAGGAGGCAGAGGCAGGCGGATCTCTGTGAGTTTGAGGCCAGCCTAGTCTACAAGAGCTAGTTCCAGGACAGGCTCCAAAGCTACAGAGAAACCCAGTCTTGAAAAACCAAAGTGAATGAGTGAATGAATGAATAAATAAATTTACTCTAATAGTTAAGTCCCAACAATCTCAACAAAGCTTTTATGTTATTTTGATCAATTATCTACAACCAATAGTTACAATGTCTCAACTCAAAAGAAACTCTAATGCTTGCAAAATATGAGACACACACACACACACACATATATATCAGTGATATATACTTTCTGCAAAGAAAAATCAATATTCTAAAACTCCCACCTACTAGCTTTTTTATTTATCATTTAAAAATTGGTAACAGGATATTACATTTTTATGATTTAGATTCCACTTTAACGTAAAATAATTCCATTTTAAAAATCCATCATGTACTGAAAATTTTTCACTTGCAACTATTGAACTTAGAAAACAATTTATACAACACCATAAAACCGTCAAGACAGTTTAATAAGTACTGCAAGACAGTACACAGAACATATTTCATAGGGGATATTTAAGTTAAAAAGATAATGACCACAGACACTCAGCCAGCAGGGCATGGTGGTACACGCCCGTCACGCCATCAATCACAGGACAAAGACAGAAGGATCGCAGCAAGTTTGAGGCCAACCTGGTCTGCATAGCCAGTTCGGGGCTAATCAGGCTGATCAGCAAGACCCTATCTAGAGGAGGGCTGGAGGGGGAAGAAGCCTACAGCATGGACCAGGTAGGTGGGTACTTCCCAGACCACTTAGTGCATGTTGCGAACACCCAGGATCCTCAGCCTTAACACTCACGTGGTCCTGAAGCTAGCAGTACTGCAGTTATCTGGAAGCTAATTAGAAATGGGGCCTACCAAGTCTGGGCCAGCCCTCTGAAGCAGACACTGCATCTAATAAGAACTACACAAGCTGCTTAGACCACAACAATCTCAGGCACCTAGCCCACAAAACTGGCAAAATATCTGTTCAAACAGCCTTTGGTCACCTAAACATTCCTGTGTATGTGTTCCTCAATGAGAGACCAATATTCTGCCAATGCCAAAGATATAAGTGCTCGGTAAAGAGAACTAAAAATCTAAAAATAAATATATAGCTATCATAATATAGACTATGTATTAGCTTAAATGCAAAAAAAAATTTTAAAGACTGATTTATCATCTCCTTTTTGTCTATAGCTGTAAGCATGAAAAGGAAAACATTCCATCTAATCTTAGTAAGATAATCAAGCATCAGGGTTCACACCTGTAATCCCAGCACTTGGAGGCTAAGGCAAGGGAACAACCATGAGTTCAAAACCAGCCTGAGCTACATTAAGTGTGTTCCAGGTCAGTCGGGGATAAGCAGCAAGACCCTGTCTTAACAATAACAACAGATAAAATAAAATAAGAGGGGAGGGAGGAAGAACGAACTAGCTCGGTTATTCATTTTGTATCTGGGTGCAATCTCAGCACTTCCTGGAATGAAAAGTGAAAGGCTTCGATGTTGGTCCACTTACCGACAGTTTCTAAGCGCTCCTGAAGCCATGGGAAATGCATTCCAGGATTAGATAACACAGAAGCTTCTCTCTTGTCATGCTCTGCCGCCGCAAGCCTTGTCAATTCGTCACGGAATTCGCTCATATTTATTCCAAATCGAGAGTATCAGTTAGCATCAGTACATGTTAATCCTCAGGCAACTGAATGGAACAGAAGAATAGCCATCTTTTCTTCTAATAAATATCACCTGCAGCAGAACCCATTGTATCTCACAGTTCTTTTTTTTTTAAAGATTTATTTATTTATTATGTATACAACATTCTTTCCATGTATGTTTGTATGCTAGAAGAGGGCACCAGATCTCATTATAGATGGTTGTGAGCCACCATGTGGTTGCTGGGAATTGAACTCAGGACCTTTGGAGGAGCAGGCAATGCTCTTAACCACTGAGCCATCTCTCCAGCCCCTCTCACAGTTCTTTTAAAGTAAAAGTTGAATCTGGTTAAGTCAGCAACAGCCCAAACTAAACTTCCACTTTTCAAAAAGAGAAGACTGGGAACAACAGAGGACCTGGGCTCAGTTCCCAGTACTCATGTAAGAGCTCGTGGTCTTCTCAAACCCAGGGCACCCAATGACCTCAACAGGAGTATACATAGTGCATATACATGCAAACACTAATACACATAATTTTTTTAATCCATAAAAAGATAAAGGATACTGTTAAACTATGTCTCAAGCACACACAAACATTAGACAATCCTTAAGTACAAAGTAAAAACCTAAAGCTACAGAGAGAAATTGAACAATACCTAACAACACAACATAACAAGTACAATAATAGCAGTAGCCGGTATTTACACCGGGACTTCACTACATACTTGGCCTAAAATTATCTAATTTAATCACGGAAGCAACCTTATTTTCTTCCACGTTAGGAATGAAAACGGTAGGACCAAGTTTTGCAACTTGACCAAAAGAAAACAAGAGTCTAAGAAATGCAGAGCACAGACCGGCTGGTGTAATAAAAACGACCAGGAGGTGGGCAGGGGCCATGGCAAATAAATGGTTCTACAAACGCAGCCAGAGGCCATTGCGCTTGAAGAGAACTGTCAAGATGCTAACACCCCTGTTCTGTCGACCTATGGAATACTGAAGCTTTACGATGAAGGAACTACGATTTACAATCCCACCAAATTTCCCTCCTTTCTGCAATCCTACAGCACTACCCTAGTTCCGGACACCTTCAGATTTGTCCAGAATTAATGCAATGCCTTCGCTTTTTGTTTGTTTTCTGCGATTTCTTTCTTTCTTTTCTTTTCTTTTTTGAGGCAGGGTTTCTCTGTAGCTTTGGAACCTGTCCTAGAACTAGCTCTTGTAGGCCAGGCTGGCCTTGAACTCAGAGATCCGCCTGCCTCTGCCTCCCAAATGCTAGGATTAAAGGCGTGTGCCACACAATTTCTTTATTTAAGTTGTTTATTGCGCGGGGTAGGCCACCGTGCCCGTGTGGAGGTCAGTGGATAATTTACAGGGGTCCTTGCACGACGGACCGACCTCACCTGGCTTAACGGTAATCGCTACGACCTGCTGGGCCATCTCCCAAGAGCTGCCTCAAATTCTGTTGCTCTGCCTTCCATCCAGATTAAGCTTTCAAAAATCAAATTCAGCCGTTCGGCGCAAAAGCTTGAAGTAACACCTGAATGTGAAATCAACCGTCGTGGCGGTTGCCACGGTAACCAAAACTTCACAGTCCCAGTAACTCACGTTCCCAGAACCCAAGATTACAGAAAGTCAGCAGGAAATAGCAGGAGGGAGAAGCGGACGCTCACAGGCCTCCTCCAAGTCCACTGCGCGCTAAGGGCGCACAGACCCCGCGCGCGGCTACGGCCGGGCTCCAGAGTTTGCGGGTCCCCACGCCACCGACTGCCAGAGAAAACCCTCTCCGGAAGCCGAGTTAGCGAGCGCTTCCCGTGAGCTTGCGCAGAACCAGCCCTGCCGGCGTTCGGGGAGTGCGCATGAGTAGCCCCGCCCCTCCCCCTTACGTGGCCGCGGCGGGGGGGGGGGGGTACGGCAGAGCCTCTCCAGCTCTGCTGAGGCTTCAGAGCCTGACCCGGATGTGGATGTTAGTTTCCGCGTTCCCGATGGTTTGGCCCGGATTTACATCTTGGTCTGTGCCAGCTGGCAAAACCGAGGTTTCCGTCGCGAAGTCGAGTGTGAGGAGGGGGCACGTAGCCGATTCTGATTGCTGCTTTAAGAATCATTTTTATTAAAATTTTTAGGATTCGATTTAAGGGATTTGCTGCCTTCACAGGTTGAGCAAGAATCCATTTTTCCTTATCGGCGTGGATTGTCCTAGGGATCGGCCTGGAGTACGCTTTCAAGAGGGACTCTGACAGCCATATATTAATTATGGAGGTGGATAGTGGAACTGTTAGGCCGCGTGAAAAGGGGAAGGGCTTAGGGAAGATATCCCGAAGAATGGCCAGAGATGTGTGGAAAATACTGTCCGAAGGACTGATCTGTTACTGGACAGATTATCAGAGATGTGAGCAAGCACTCGTGAGTAAAAGCTAAATGGAGGCAACCTTAGAGTCATCGGAAGAAAAAAAAACTGTCGTTAGTTATGAATGCGTAAATGATAGTATCAACGCCTCTAAAGCTCTGAATTTGCTGCTGAGAATAGAATCTGAGTATCGTGGGAATTAACGGGTCTATAAAGAGAATTTGTATATAAGAGGGATTTATTTAATGCTACAGATACTTTATTCTACTTGTTTTCTTCATAACCCATACGCAGCAGCCATAGGCACTGGAGAGAGGTTCTTCAGATTGTTTTGGGGCACTTGCCCTTCAGCCTGTTCTTTTTGTTGTTGCTGTCTTTGTTTTGCTTTATTTAGGTTTTCAAAGACCAAGTCTCTACATAGCCCTAGCTGTTCTGGAACTCACTGCAGTTAAGGCTGACCTAGAACTCAGAGATCCATAGAATTCCTAAGAGTTATGCCTGCCTGTTTCCTAAGCGCTGGGCTTAAATGCATGCACCGCCATGCCTGGCCTTTAAACCTGTGCTTTTTAAACTACAGGCAAAGCTAAATAAAGTAAATGACGAAGTGGCCAAGGAGGGATGGTCACACACACGAAGACAGTGATTATCTTGTCATCTGGAAGCGTGGTTCATCAAAATCGACTGATTTTTCTGTTTGTTCATGCTCATAAAAATGGAAAATATTGACATGACTTTAACCCCAACACTTGAGAGGCAGAGGCCGGTGGTTCTCTGAGTTTGAGACCAGCCTAATCTTCAGAGGGAGTTCCAGGACTGCCAGGGCTGTTACACAGAGAAACCCTATCTCAAAAAAATAAGGAGGGGGGTTGGGGATGTTCTGATGTCATCGTTTTCAAACATCTCTTAACTTTGGAAGCTAGAAATGAGAAATCCATTATCTTTACATTCCTTACACACCGTTTCCCACAGTACAATTCTGGATGAAATTTGTGGAGAAGGAGCATGCACAAAAGCTTTCTGATTTCAGCCTCGAAGAATGTATGTTACAAGGGAGAGGAAATTATTCTCATAGTTGCTTTCCACTAACAGAGCAACTTAGTAATGCTACATTTTCTAAAAGCTTTGGAGGCATCTTGGAAAATATTCCCACAAACCATATATATATATATATAACCATATATATATTTCACATAATCAAGCAATTGGAAAACATCACAAATAAACTACACTACATCATAATAGTATAGGTGAAAAGAGAATGTGACAAAAAAATAAAAGCATAAAAACAAAGCCAAGTTGCATGGCAGAGTAGAGAACACTTTTATCCAACTATTGCTTCTCTGAAATACATGGGCTAGGACCCTACACTAGGCTGAGACTTGGGAAAAGACTGTTCTAAAAGCACAGCTTCACTTTCCCCCTCCTTGTTTGGTACCTGAGCCCCCATGGAAAGAAGCCCAGGCTAGCCTGGAGAGAGGGATGGATGAAGAAAGAGCTCCTGGCATATGAGCATCACAAAGAAAGCACAGGCCTTGGTTCTAGATACGTGGAGACGGTTAAAAAAAAAAAAAAAGTGGTCGGCACAGTTATTGGCTGAAAGCAACCACAGGAATAGTTCCAGTTCAACAGGTGTAGCAGAAGCAAGCTAAACCCTACACAAACTCCCAGTTCAAACTGAACGTTAACATGGCAGTTATCTGTAGGCACCAAGTTGTAGTGGTTTGGGCTAAGAAAATATGATGCAAGTGGTACTATAGCCATTCTAGCCCTGGGCCTTACACTTCTGAATTTTATTGTGAAAGAGGACTCCAGGCAACAAGTTTAAGATACATGACTAGGGGTAATTTAAGTGAGATGCAGGTCTATTCCAATCAGTTTAACCACCACACCACAATGACCAGACGATGGGATGAAGCTATTTCAGCCCAAGTTATAGCTGAAGAAAGTCGCTTGAGTGACCCCAGCCAGTAACTCATAGAATAGAAGATCATTCAGCTAAGTCCAGACAAGACATAAAGTAGGGAGAAAGAAATGATTTTGCTAAGCGACTAAATTTTTTACATAGGGTGGAATGAGTGTCGATCCGTTTCCCTATGGTGAGTCAACTTTAATTCTGCAGGTCCCTTCAGCATTGCTAGCAGTGAAATCCTGTTGCTATTGTCTTGGTTTTTATTTCAGTTTTGAAGGATATTTATAATGGGCCAGCAGGTTTTTTTTTTCTTTCAGCTCTGTAAACCTTCCCAATGACTTTTAGTCTCATTTCCAATGAGATTAAAGTTTAACCATTTTTACTGATCGGCAGCGTCTCACTTGGCGCTGGTTGCTCTCATTTTTCTCCGCACTCTGTATTTATAGGTAATAGTATACTGCGTGTGGATCTTTGTCCGATGTTTATACACTGAGTCTCCTTGACCCACCAGTTTATTGTTTGCTAATTTGGAAAAATTTTAAACATTTTTGCCTCAAATAAATTTCTGTTCAAACACTCTGAGGACTTCTAATTATATATTTTTTTAATTATTTATTTATTTATTCATTCATTTATTTATTATGTATACAATATTCTGTCTGTCTGCTTGAAGGCCAGAAGAGGGCGCCAGACCTCTTTACAGATGGTTGTGAGCCACCATGTGGTTGCTGGGAATTGAACTCAGGACCTTTGGAAGAGCAGGCAATGCTCTTAACCACTGAGCCATCTCTCCAGCCCCTATATATTTGTTTTATCACTTAGTATGAAGAGATTGTAATAGAATCTCCACTCAATTTTTTTCTGATCATTAGACCGATAATGCCTATTAGTCTATCTTTAAATTGACTCTTTGATGATTGACAGTGTAAAATCTTCTCATAAGCCTGTTTCATTATTTTTTTCACTTAAAATACTATGTTTTAACTATGTTTTATTATTTAAATTTCTTTTTTTCAAAAGAAAGTTTTCACTTAGGTGTTGATATATCCTATTTGTTCATTATAACTATGCTTTCCACTAAGTCTTTGGAGTAATTTTTTTTTTTTTTTTTTTTTTTTTTTTTTGAGACAAAGTCTCACTGTGGAGCTCTGGCTGTCCTGGAACTCACTATGCAGACCAGGCTGGCCTGGAACTCAGAGCTCTGCCTCCCAAGTGCTGGGAGACAAGGGTATGTGGCACTGCAGCCATTTTATGGGATAATTTAAATTTTATTTCAGCCAATTCTAACATGTAGATCATCTCAGTGATGTCTTATTATTCATGGCTTTTTCTTTTAAAATTTCTTCTTTCTAATTCTTTGCAATCTGATAAGGTTTAATTCTGTCATGAACATTTATAGATTATAGGGAGTTTATATTGTTTTTTTCTAAAATGGATTGTAGTGGTTAATGTGATTTCCCAATCTGATTACATTTAAATGCCCAGAGAGTATCTGATGGTGTTCCCTTTCCAGTGACAGTTAAGATCATCAAGGTTTTCAACTATGGATTCATCACTTAATCAATTCCTAATATTATCATACCAAAAAGGATGATAATACTTTAGGTGGTGGTGCAAACCTTTAGTCCCAGCGCTTTGGAAGCAGAGACAGGCAAAAACAATAAGAAAGAAGCAGGGCCCAATGGAAGGAGTATGTGACCGGCCATATCCGTGGTCTGCGTCTCACCCCAACCTCTCTCTGTTCTTCCTGTGTGACATGAGATGAATTTACTGTCACATGGTCCTGCCACTATGATATGTTGCTGCAGAACATGGAGTGATGCCACCATGAATCTACTGAAACTGTGAACAAAATGAACTCTTCCCCTATAGGATGTTTGTGACAGTGACAGGCGTTTTGTCACAGTGATGGGAAAGCTAATGACGCAAACAGTTATTATTTTTACATATTGTGAAAATCAGTCATTAGAGGAGTCTGCAAATTTTTACATTCAGCCTGAGTTGATTTTACTTTCTGACTAGTTCTGCTACATTTCCCTGCTCCTTTGAGTTTGTTCTTTCTGTTAAGCGCTTTTTGGGAACTGTGGGAATGCTTAAGATATAATGACAGTTTTGTTTTGTTGTTTTTTCTTTTTCAGAATAGTTGGGAAGAATGTTTTGTAAATGCCATAAAACGTTAGGGTTTGGGGGCTGGAGAGATGGGTCGGTGGTTAAGAGCATTGACTGCTCTTCCAAAGGTCCTGAGGTCAATTCCCAGCAACCATATGGTGGCTCACAACCACTGGTAATAAGATCTGGTGCCAACTTCTGTCTGCAGGGACACATGCAGGCAGACCATTCTATACATAATAAATAAATAAATCTTAAAAAAACACATTAGGGTTTTGTATAACTCCACAAATAACAGTATATTAAAGTATCTTAAGAGGATATAGAGATTGGCTAAAAGTATTTTAGGCCCTAAAAGACAACATTAATCTTTGTTTTGGATTTCCAAATCAGGGTTTCTCTGTGTAACATCTCTGGCTGTTCTAGGACTCACTTTGTAGACCAGGATGATCTCAAACTCACAGAGATCTGGTT